CCCATCTCCGCCCTTCCCAGCTGTTCGGAGATCGTGAACTACGATAAGAGACGATGCTACAAAATCCACAAACCAAAGCTGAACTACCCCGAGTGTTGTGAGAGAGTTGTGTGCGTGGGGATGGAAGGCTTCGACGAAGATGAGTTCAACCCAGAAGTAATCTAGGCCACAGTCACTTGTGTATTGACACACTCTGCTCTCTCCTGGACAGCACAACAGCACAGCAATGACAAAAGCAACAACAACAATAACAAAAACAACAACAACAACACAGCAATGACAACAACAACAACAACAACAACAACAACACAGCAATGAAAACAACAACAACAACAACAACAACAACAACAACGACACAACAACGACACAACAACTACAACAAGAATAAAAACACAACACCAACAACAACAACAATAACTGAAACACAAAAGCAAAACCAAAACCAAAACCAAAAACAACAACAACAACAACAACATCAACAACAATAATAACAACATTAAGCAACAACAATAAAACGTCAACAACAACAATAACAAAAACAACAGCAGAAACAACAAAACAACAAGATCAATAATAGCAACACAACAACAATAACAGTAACAACAATAACAACAATACAACAACAACAACAACAATAATATCAACTCAACAACAAAAACAGAAACAACACAACTACTACTACAACAACAACAACAACAACAACAACAACAACAACAACAACAACAAAAGCAACAGCATACTACAAAACAACAACAGGTGTAAAAAAACAACAAAGAAACACAATTTAATAACACACACCATAACACAAGAAAACAACATCATAAAACAGAAAAAAAACAACAACACCAACAACACCAACAACACCACCATCACCACCACTACCACCACCACCAACAACAACAACATCAACAACACAACAACAACAACAAACAACCACAACATCAGCAATAACTGAAAAGCAAGAATTGAACTTTGACCTTCGAGCTCGAGTAATAAATTAAGAAAGAGATGAGAAAGAACTTTGTGAGGTGAAATAAGGTATCATGATCGCATCCTCTTGTCCTAGAACTAGGTCTGATGTCATCCAGTAAAAAGAAAATGAGTTTATTTCTGGTTATCGTTTACTTTCTTTCTTAATTTGTGTTTTTATGAGGTTTTGTTGTTGTCGTTGTTGCTGTTGTTGTTGTTGTTGCTTTTGTTGCTGCTGTAGTTGTTGTTGTTGCTGCTGCTGTTGTTGTTGTTGTTGTTGTTGGTGGTGGTGGTGGTTTGTTTGTCCGGTGGTTATTATTGTTGTGAATGAAAATTCACGAATCAGCAATACTAGAACTAAAGAGAGAAGCCCGCCAGCTTCGCTTATTATCCACGAGTGGAAATGAAGGTTTTTGGATGCCCTGCCAGAGTTAGTCACTTTTAAGCGCAAGGGGGCTATCCCGAAAAATGCTGTTTTGAGAAAATCAAAGGTAAAGTTTTTACCCCAATATTCAGTTTCTTTAAAAGACAAGGAGAGTTTTCTCTATAACCAAACAAATATACACAGCGATGAAACCAAACTTCTCCTAAAGGCAGCGCAATGTCCACCTATGGTGTAGGTCAAGATTTCTAGAAACCCCCGAAATCTGGGTTAGCTCGCTTGTCCTTAAACGCGACCAATTGGTCTCATTTGTCATAGCAGAAGTCCCGAGCTATCTTTATACCCATTCCTTCGTTTCGCTGAAGCAATATTCTCCTCTTTGTATACATTATTGTGTATTATTAATTCTAAACTCAGGTCTACGTGAAACTATACCCTCGGAGAAAAGTAACTATCCGTAGATTTCAGGGCTAAATTTGCAAATTTTATAATCACGCTTCTTTAATCATCCTGGTAAATCATTTTTGCTTATTCAAAGACGAAACGATAGATCTAAGTAAGACTAGTTTTTGAGCAAAACGCCAATTTATACACAAACAACTCACGAGAAGAAGACCACCTCCCAAAAAACCGCAAAACACGATTTGAGGAAAATTACATGTATTGCTTAAGTAGAGCGTGATTTCAAAAACGAGTATGCTGTCCTTGTGCTACACACTCATGTTTAATGCAAGACACTATGCATGCTATAAACTTAATTCTGCTAAAATCGTGTTTTTCGTTGGGTTTTTTTATTTTATTTGGGGGGGGGGGGGGGGGTTTGGGGGGTAGTCTTCTTGTCGTGAGTTGTTTGTGTATACAATGACCTTTTGGTCAGAACATGACCTTACATATCGTTTTGTCTTTAAATAATAAGCTAAGAAAATTAGCCCGATAAAAACCTTTTCAAATTAGGCCTGAAATCTATCGACAGTTACTTTTTTTCCCGTGGGTATAGGATGTTATTTTTATCTTGGAGGGGTCCGAATGTTTCCCGCCCTCTCTGGCATGTTTTTTTTTTTCTTCCTTTCTTTCTTTTTTCTCTCGGAAAATCGTCACTGCGTAGGCAATTTGGCTTTAAATTGAACAAACCAACAAACAAATAAGACGTAAGCCCTTTGAACACGTGAATATTTCATAATCAGCTTGATTTACGTTATACAGATATGGGAGACAACGATATATACATGTACATACAATCTCACGTAGAAAGGGAAGTGGGTGGGGAGAAAAGCTACAATAAGGTACGATACACATTTAAACGACTCAACGAAATAGAATGTAATATACATACAACGGGCAACCACACACACACACACACACACACACACACACACACACACACACACACACACACACACACACACACACACACACTCACACTCACACACACAGACACACACACAAACACACTCACACCCACACAGACACACACATACACATACACACACACACACACACACACACACACACACACACACACACACACACACACACACAGACGCACATACAGGCACTCACAGACACACAGTGCACAAGCGTACCTGCATATCACAGAGAAAAAGTCACATACATTTATTTCAAACAGTAGATATAATCTTGTGTCATGTCATGAGCACAAAAATAAATGAGACAGAAGAAAAAAAAGCACCACTAAGTGTTTGTGCAAATTACTAACTCTCAGTCAGTTTCAGCGTTTGAGCTTTAGTTCAAATTCACGTGACCTCCGACATTCTGACTTGGCGCCAGACCCTGGACTGGACACAAGGACAAGAGGAATCATAAAACCGACTCATGAACAGACGATATCACATCGGACAAATCAGACGGACACTCACAAATCTCTCCAACATCCTTCTTCAAATTTACGGGGGAAAAAACATGATAGAATGAAAAAACTTAGAAATACCGTACAAAAAGGGTCTAAGTCACATTCTGGTCGTTTTGAGTAAAATGTGTGTCGCCATACTACTTTTAGCAAAACGCGACGTGGGCCTTTATTTTTCTGACCCCTCCAATTGTTCTATGAGCACAAAGACAGATATATTATTTTCTCAACATAATGTAAACATATCACAGCGTAGAAAAATATCAAAACAATAGAGATGAGTCACAGAAAAAAGATGACAACACTCAGGAATGAGCAGCCCTGGAGTCAACCCAATAATTGATGATGAATGTGACCAGCGGTGAGCTGATGATTTGTTAAAAAGAAATAAAATAAAATTCGTCTTGAAGATTAAAATCAACAGTTTTCAGCCCAGCTGGAAACAATAGATCTAGATCTAGTATTAATTAAGTTATGAAATACCCTTGCGTGGCAGACGCTATATATGGCGTCAGTTAGTCTTACTCTTGAGAGCTTGAGTATTTCAACGGATGTCCCCAAAGTCTTTCCTGTTTTGATCTGCTAGCTATTCGGAATCGCTTTATGAAACCCACGACTTGGACACACCTGTCCATAAGTAGAGATCTGACAGAAAAAAAACTACCAAGAAAGACTTGTAAAAGAGAGTATCACATCGGAGGGGCCGCTCGTATTGCCCGGTAGTTCTAAGTTTACAAACATTTTCTATGGACGCCACAATAGATATATGGTCGCTTTTAAGGACAAGCGGGCTAACCCAGATTTCGGGGGTTTCCAAAAATTTTGACTTACGCCAAAAGTGGGCATTGCCCTACCTCTAGGAGAAGTTTGGTTTCATTGGTGGGTATATGAGTTTGGTTATTAGAGAAAACTTTAATTGTATTTTAAAGAAACTGAACAAGGGTCCAAAAAAGTTACCTTCCATTTTCTCAAAACAGCATTTTTGGGACAGCCCCTTTGTGCTTAAAAGTGACCATATTATCTGTAATCAGTAGACAAATACATTCACTGATTTATCTATCCAAGTCGTGGTTCTTCCATTTTGTCTACATTTTGCCATTTTTCTGAAAAGACACGTTTTGTTTTGTTTCAGCTAAAAATTTCTAGCCAAAATAAAATATGTAAAATGAAGAGTATTACTAATACTAATACCACTAATACCCCAGAATGACCCGTGCAAAGAAAGAGAAAGTATTTCCCGTTAGTTCTAAGTTTAGAAACATTTCCTGTGCACGATGGAGGGGCCGGACTCGTCGTACTCCTGTTTGGAGATCCACATCTGCTGGAAGGTGGAGAGAGAAGCCAAGATGGAGCCTCCGATCCAGACGGAGTACTTCCTCTCAGGGGGAGCAATCACCTTGATCTTCATGGTGCTGGGAGCCAGAGCGGTGATCTCCTTCTGCATCCTGTCGGCGATGCCCGGGTACATGGTGCTGCCTCCGGACAGCACGGTGTTGGCGTACAGGTCTTTACGGATGTCCACGTCACACTTCATGATGGAGTTGTAGGTCGTCTCGTGGATGCCCACGGTCTCCATTCCCAGGAAACTGGGCTGGAACAGTGATTCTGGACAACGGAAACGCTCGTTGCCAATGGTGATGACCTGACCGTCGGGGAGCTCGTAGCTCTTCTCTATAGCAGACGAGGTAGACGCAGAAACCATCTCGGTCTCAAAGTCGAGCGCTGTGTAGCAAAGCTTCTCTTTGACGTCCCTGACGATCTCTCTTTCGGCGCTGGTGGTGAAGCTGTAGCCTCTCTCTGTCAGGATCTTCATGAGGTAGTCTGTGAGGTCACGGCCGGCCAAGTCCAGCCTCATGATGGCGTGTGGGAGAGCGTATCCCTCGTAGATAGGCACAGTGTGGGACACACCGTCACCA